CTTCCAGGGTGCGTCTGCGGCGACTTGGTGGCAATCTGCAAAAATAAGCTGTCACATTAAAGAGCCAGCCACCGAAACCCAAGAGCCTTTTAGTTCTTCCTGTTTCTCTAAGTTTGGTTCTGCCTCAGGCCGACTTTCCTTTTCTCCAGCCTGTTTCTGGTTTCCTTCCTGTCCGCCCTCAGGGTGGCATCGGTAAGCCTTCCCTGACTACTTACCCACACACTCAGTCATTGAACAGGGCGCCTACAAAACGCCGGGACCGGTCCAGGGGCCGTGGAATCACATCGTCCACAACTTCTAGCCCCGCTCTACTTTAGCCCTAGCAGTTGTCATCTACAAGTAATTTTGTTCCCTTTCCTGTTTGCTAGTTTATGGTCTGCCTCCCCCACTAGAATGAATATATATATATATACACACATATATGTATCTATAGATATAATTTATATTTTTATATATATACATTTTTTGTTTAAAAATTTTTTAGAGAGATTTTTGCTATAGAGTACATGTACTGATCGGAGAGACAGAGAGAAACAGAGACAGAGAGACAGAAAGCAAGAAATCTCTCACACACACACACACCCTGGGGAGTTGGCCACGATGCTCTCATCTTGGGGTTTGGGGCACAGCACACACAGGGACCCTGTGTGAGCTTTAAGCAGCCAGGTTTGGGACTTGAACCGTAGCCAATCACGTGGGAGTCCAGCGAGGTAACCATGATGCCATGTGCCAGTTCCCATGTCTCTCCCCTCCTCATCCTCCTCGCCCTCTGCTGTGGACAGAAACTGCGGGACTGTGCTTGGCGCTGGGCAGATGCTCAGACTCAAGGGTATGTGGACGAATGGGTCTTGTTTCCCTAGCCACCCTGTGAGTTTTCATCACAGCTGCTCTACTGCGGAGGACGCAGGCTCAGGCCCGGCCAGTGCAGCAGCCACAACTCTGGAACATGAATCATCCAGCCAAAGTCTGCTCTTCCTCCCAGTGAAGACGTCGGAGCACTGTGAGTAGAAAAGGTCCTGGGCGGGGGTCAGAGACCGGTTCTCCAGCCCAGAGCCTGTGGCACACCTGGTGGACTGCGGTGGCCCCTCTCTCTTCTCTCCTCTGGTAAGCCAGGGTCAAGAAAAATCAGCTCTACCCATCTGTAGGGTTATCGTGGGGGTCAAAGGGTCCATCTTATACAGGCTTCAGGCACATAAGAGATGGTGTCTGAGCACGTGGGCCTTGTCAACAGGGAATGATAACCATATTAAAGTGAACGGTGAGAGAAAATTTCCAGCCAGCCCCCTCTTGCTCAGCCTGTGGACCCTTCCAGTCAGTGTGGCTCTGTGGGACCAGGCTCCGTTCCACACACGGCTTGGCCCTGTCTCTAATGTGGTTAGAGACCCTGTGTTGTACACATTTGCCTTCAGACGTTGGGTCCAGTTACAGCCACTACCCCATCCACCCCACACTCCAGTCACCCCCTTTGCACACAGGACTTACTCCCATAGTCACGGTTACAGGTACGAAAGGTCGAGAAAATATGTTTAACTCTTTGAGACCTCTTGGGTTTGGTACTGGGCATTGAAGAATTTAGTTTCTTCATCTGTAAAGTCAGGATAATTACTGCCCCCGTGACCTGTGAGAGCCATCAGGAGGGTTAAACAAGCACACAGGTGAACTGCTGAGGACTGGTGCCCAGCGCGCAGGACACCTGCCGAAAACGAGCGCCATTACTCTCTGTAAAGGATACTTCTGAGGACCAGCAGGTGGCATGGTAGTTAAGGCTCTGGATGCTCCCGCATGTCCAACCACAGTTTGAGCCGTGGACCTGGCACCTTGCTTTCTCACTTTCCCTCTCTCTCTTTCTCTCTCTCTCTGTGTCTCTCCCTGATCAAATTAAAATAAATGAATAAATAAAATTAGATAAAAATTTTTAAAAAGATACTTCTGAAAGATCCTTTTATCGACTTGTTCCAAAGGGATGTTTAGGGGAGCGTGTTGGAAGATGAGGCCTTTCAATTAACCATTGACTAATTCATCCAGGATTTATGGATAGCTGGGGTTCTGGGCATTGGGGATACAGCAGGCCAAAGAACCAGGGTGTTTCCAGCACAATCAGGGAGATTACATTCTGGTTTGGGGTATGTGAACAGAGAGGTGGGCAATAAAGGATGCGATATTAATTCTCAGGCAGTGTTACTAGTCATAAAGCAAAGAAGGACCACCTGCTGGTGACCTTTGGGTGAGGAGAAGCCACTGGGTGACAGAGTCAAAGCTCTCAAGGCAGACTCTGCAGCAACTGCAAAGGTGTTGTGGAGTGGGGGTGTGGCTGGCACTTCTAGGGAAGAGGCTGGAGTGGAGAGAGCTGGGGGATAGGAGGTGAGATAAGATCAGAGAGGCAGTGGGGACTGGATCACCACGGGCTTTTAAAAAATGCTGGTGCTTGGGCCTAAGGTTCCCAGACTTAGCAAATACAACTGTAAGACACCGTTATTGTTGAACTTAAGATACATAATGAACAATTATTTTAGTTGATGCCCCAGCATTGCACAGGACATACTCAGATGGACACCTACGCATTGTACATCTGAGATGCAAATATGCTCAAGTGTCCTATATCTTAACTGGTACACCTACTTAGGCCTCAACCCACAGATTATGAATCCATTGCTCTGGGACTGGACCACACATATCTGTGTTTCTTTTTTCCTTTCCTTTCCTTTCCTTTCCTTTCCTTTCCTTTCCTTTCCTTTCCTTTCCTTTCCTTTCCTTTCCTTCCCTTCCCTTCCCTTCCCTTCCCTTTCCTTTTTTGGAATTATTTAATTTAATTTTATTTATTCACTTATTTATTTTTAGTTAGACCAGACACACACACACACACACACACACACACACACACACAGAGAGAGAGAGAAAGCAAGCCACCAGGTCCAGGACTCAAACTGTGGACAGCCATGTGGGAGTGTCCAGCACCTTAACCACCACGCCACCTGCTGGTCCCAATCACCATGTATTTCTAACATGTGCCCAAAGTCAGGAACCACTGATGCAGGGCCTGATCTACTCAGTAAAGACCATTGGTGGAGAGCTGAAGGGCTTTTGGGCAGATATCTAACAGGATCTCTTTTTTTTTTTTTTTGAGAGGTTTATTTTTTTTTCACTATAGGGCGCGTGCGCTCGCCAGACAGACAGAGAGAGACATAGAGACAGAAAGCGAGAAATCACCCCCCCAGGGGGGATGGTCATGCCACAATCCCTTCTCCTCCATTCTCCTCTCAGGATCTTGGGCATGCACGCACACATGCCCGGCGTGAGTTTTAAGCCACCGGGTCTGGGACGCGAACCGCGGTCGACTACGTGGGAGTCCAGCGACATAGCCATTACGCTAACTGCTGGTTCCCACAGGATCTCATTTTTAAAAAGAATCTCTTTGACTGTTGTGTGGAGGAAAGAGGGACAAGATTGGGACAGAAGGGACAGAAGCAGCTGGGTAGGAGGCTGGAGAAGGGCTCTGAATTTGCTGAGTACCCACTAGGAGCTAGGCACAATAAAATGATATAAAGGAGGTTCCTGGATCTGCCCGAGACCCACCCAATTTAGAATTTCTCAGGGATGTGGAAGTCTAGGATTTGTAATTAGAACAAGCTCCACTGGTGATTCAGAAGTATCAGTCAGACATGGAACAAATAAACTATTAAATTCAGTTCTCTAAATTATAGAAATAACCATAAATACTATTTAGGGAACATTGTCTTTGTGATTGGCTCTATGTGCTTTCCATACTTTACAGCATTTAATCTTGAGGCCAGCAGGTGGCATGGTGGTTAAGGTGCTGGATTCCCACTTGGCTGACAGCAGTTTGAGTACTAGACCTGGCAGCTTGCTTTCTCACTTTCCCTCTCTCTCTCTCTCTCTGGTGATCACACATGCCCTATAGCAAATTAAAAAATAATAGTAATAAATAAAATTGAAAAAACTTAAATACTAAAAAATTGTAATCATATATATATGTATAGATACTACAATTAGTCCCATTTCTCAGAGGAGGGAACGAGGCTCAAATAATTTAAATAACGTGGCTATGATCACCAACTACACAGTGGCAGGACCCAGGTCTGACTGATTCTGTTAACCTTCCCTCTCCTAGGCCTATCAGTACAGGTTCAAATCTGTTTAGACGAGTTGCAGATAACGTGTCCCCAGTAGGAGGAGCCTCCTTTGTTATTTCCAATTGATGCCTGCCCTTCTAGGACCTAGACAGGGCCTGGCCTGACCTGGGTATATGTTGAATGGAACTGAATTCTGGGGGTGATGTCACTGAACACAGCCTCACATCCCTTTCTTTAGAGCAGGGGCCCCCAACCTCTGGCCCACGGACCTGTACCAGCCGGAAGTGTGTTAGGAACCAGGCCACACAGCAGGAGGTGAGCAGTAGGAGAGCAGGCAGAGCTTCATCTGTATTTATAGCCGCTCCCCATCACACACTCAGCTGCAAATTCTGTGCCTATCAGATCAGCAGGGACTTTAGATCCCACGGGAGCGTGAACCCTATTGTGACTTGTGCACATGAGGGATCTAAGTTGCCGCTCTTATAAACACTCCCACCCCAACACCTCCTCTCTCCTAGGTGGAAAAATGATCTTCCACGAAAGCAGTCCCTGGTGCCAAGAAGGCTGGGGGCTGTTACCGCAGTGCACCCTTATGATGCGATTGCACTGAACGTGAGACTGAATGACCCAGAAGACTGTTTATGGTGACTTCTTATTTTCTGACAACACTCAGAAATAAGTAGGGCTCCCAGGAGGAGGGACTGGACACTCCCTTGGAGGGAGGCCAGGGTGAGGGTGCTGTGGATGGAGTGTGCTTACCATGGTGTTACATTGCTGAGCAATTTCTTGTTTGTATTGCTAAGACATCTTCGACTGAAAGAAGTGAACAACTTTTTATTGATTGAACCATCAACCAGAATTGGCAGGGTTAAGTGGCAGGGGCTCAGAGTAAAAGCCATTTGGGTTAATATTTTTCCGCGTGGTTCTATGTGTTGAGTAATAAGTTCGTAGTCTCTTGCCTTATCTCTTACACAGAAGCCTGAGTGACAACCTCTACCTGTTAACTACGAATGCTTTGCACTTACCCCCAGATAATGGTCTTCTGATATGTGACACTCATATCACTGATGGCCTGCAAGATTCCTTTAGCTGGTAATGAACTTGCATTAAATCACTTTTAATCCTTATTCTGTTCAGGATGCAGCTTGA